GAGACTGACTACGATACGTAACGAACCAAAGTGGACAATATCTATTAGCGGTAGGCTTCAGTTGTTACACTAACGATCTCGTTCACTAGTGTGAATAGGTTATATACTCTTATTCAAATTCTAATGAACGACTCAATCCTCCTCTCCATCTAAATTCGAGATCGAAAACGAAAGCAAAACAACAGAGAAATCGATCCACCAGAGGTTTACACGTAAAGAACAAGCAAAGAATACCCAAAATCTAGCAAGAACAAAGCACTCAACATTCATATTTCATCATCCCAATGTGCATCAGTTGCTAAAATTTTGACATAGCTACAAGCATCACAAGAAACAGAAAGTAACACAACCGAGAGATATTACAAAGAAACCAGCAATCCAAACAACTTTCCCCAATATACAAAAGGGTTGAAAAGAGAATCCAAAACAGAGTAACCACGAAGAAATCATCATAAAACACCAGCGATTAAAGCAAATTCCAGCACCAGTTTGATCAAAACAATAAACAACAAACAACAAACAAAAAGGATCGACCAAAGGGCTAAAAGAAAGAACCAAAAACAGAGAATCCAGCACAAAAAACCAACAATCCTCACAACTAAAGTGAATCAAAATCAAGAACTAATACCTGGAGGCCAATTTGGAAGTATTGAAGGCAGAGAGAAGGGTTTAGGGTCAGAAAGGCAGACGTCTAGAGGATCAACGAGACCATTCCAGCACCAACACTCGCACCCAAACATCCTTCAATAACCCTCTTGAAAACCCTTCAAAGCCCCAAAAAAATTGCGATCAAACCCACGAAATTTGTTCAAGAGAATTTGCCTCTACTGTTTTCGAGGAATACCCATATGGGCGAGAGAGAGAGTTGTGGAGATGGAGAGAAAAGAGAGAGTTCTCTAAGAAAATTGTTGTTGTTTTGTGAATTTAAAGCAGTTCAAAAATTTTGAAATACTGTTCTCAGATACTAAGAGTTGAGAGAGGAGTTCGTTTAATCCATTATTCATTGTTACCCTTTATGAGTGAATCTTCAAATTTTAGTCATAAATTCCAAACTTAAATAACCCAATCACTTTCCATTTCAATTTTAATGATATCCACTCTGCATGATCGACATAGAAACAAACAAAGTCTCCTTTAGTGTCGATACCTATAACGATAACTGTGAGATAGATTCAGGCACTATCGACCATAGAAATTTTTTATCTACGCTAAAACTAACAAAACAGGAATAAAAACGTGATGATGAACAAAAAAATCCTTATGAACAGTCATATAAAGGATGAAGACAACGACCATCCTAAAAAAAAAGGGACGAAGATTTGAACGAGAGCAATTTTGAAAGTAAATCGAACACGAGAAATTAAAAAAATAATAATAATAATTTTTAATTTTATTTTTAAAAATATTTGAAAGAGTAAAGTTTTTATTTTCCTATTTAAAAAAAAAAAATTAAATGAAAGCGTAAATGAGGAAGGTGGAGTGCAAATGCACGCAAGTGGTTGGATGACCTTGCTCTTCTTTATAAAGATTCTTTAATTTTTTTTAATATTTTATTTATAGTTTTTTAAATTTTAATTTTTTTATTGCATTTTGTGTTCTAATAAAATTATTATTTTATCTTTTATAATTTTAAGGAGTGGGTGGATGAGGTGTCGCTATCCAATTGAATGGTCGCCGGAGGTGTTTGTTTGGATGCTTGGAATATGCTTCATGGATGATTGATAAGAAAAGTCTCTTCCACGGCGAAAACGACGGCTGCCGGCCGGCGACTAATGTTACGTGATGCTCGATTTGTTTGATTGGTGATTTTAATTTTAATTTATGCTTTTTGATTGCTGAATTTAATAAATATAGTATAATATATGTTAAATTATAGAAAAGATTCTTAAACTTTTTAAGAGGGTTAGATGAACACGACTCTCCACAATGGTATGATATTGTCAACTTTGATTATTCCCTAAATTAGCCATCCAACAAGGAGAAAGAAGAATAATAGAACCTGTTTAGCCACATAGGCGACTCGTGCATGCATGTTCAGTCGTCTACGACTCTAGCCTTGACTTCACCAACTGAGCATTCCTCACTTATAAACTCATGATCATTCTCTAAATTAACCGATGTGGGACTTTCATCATCCAACAAGGAGAAAGAAGAATAATAGAACCTGTTTGGCCACATAGGCGACTCGTGCATGCATGTTCAGTCGTCTACGACTCTAGCCTTGACTTCACCAACTGAACACAAATTGTTTGATATCAAAGATTGTTTGGCCACACACACTGCTCGTGCATGCATGTTCAGTCATCTGCAACTCTAGCAGACTTGCCTCAGCTCTAGGCCAAGTCTATTACAAACCACGGATTTTCACAATGATATGATATTCTTGAGCATAAACTCTCGTGGTTTTGCTTTTGGAGGCCTCATACCAATGAAGATGTATTCCTTACTTATAAATTCATGATCATCCCCTCAATTAGCCGGGACTCCCTCCCAACAATTCAAAATAATCCTCCCTTCGAACAAAATATACCATAGAACCTCCCCCGTGACTTATGTAGTCCTCGAACAGTCTCCTCTTAGTCGAGGTTCAACTCCTTTTTTTAGAGCACTTGAACAAAGTACACCTTTTGTTCAACACTTGAATCACTTTTGACTACATCTTCGAGACTCACAACTTCTTTATTCGACATTTGAGAATTCTATTGACATGACTAAGTTAAGAACGGTTGGGTTTTATGTCCTAAAACTCATAGTTTGTAAACAAAAACATATTCTATTTTCAATAAAGTTATTATTGTTGTTTTTTCAGTAAATATTGTTATTGAATAAAGTAAATTTTACGATTTGGGCTTCCCCAAAAGGTCACATACCCTCCCAACAATCCTCAACAAAGTCATCTAACTCAACCTTGCCTTTACTCTAGGCCAAGGTCTCATAAACAACGTTGCATCTCATCATCATTTTGGTTGCCAAAAACATGACTCATGCATCATGATGTCATCCCATGACTCGGGATAGCTCATACATCTTAACTTGCTTGGGCATGTCTATCGAGAACTGACCCATGTGTCGATCACATCAGCGGCACATCTCGAACTTCCATGTCATTTACGGACTTTGTACCGGATAGCGGGTGCATATACCTACCTTCGATACATGGGATGAGACACAATGTGAGTCTGCAAGACACAATGTCGGCACACCCTTGCAGACCCACATTGTCCTTGAAAAACTTATTAAAAATAAAATTGTTTGAGACGCTCGTCTCACAACAACATTAACCCACATTGACACACGTATGTGCCACAAGGTAGCTCACTTATGCCACAGGGATGGTAGAAGTATATTTTGAGACATTTTTTTATCTTTCTAAAGAAGACTGTGATTTTCGCGAGCAGTCATACGACTTCATGGAGTGTTCGTTGGGTGTTCGACTAACACCAAATTTGGTGATCTTTCATCCTTCAAACTTCAGAGTCGCATGCCAAAACTCATACTAAACTCCGAATTTTGAGGTTATAGTCCAGGACCCTATCTTGTCGTACCTGAGCTTGTGTTTGACACTTGTGTTGCTTTGTTCTCTCCAACCTTATTTATGTCTCAGCTTGATTTTAGTACACATTTTTCTTGGTATGATGATGCATCATCCTCCTCAGTTGCATCATAGAACTTATTTGTCTCGATCCTCACGTGGTCAGATGGGCACCACTTAAGCATTTCTACCTTGTCGGTTTGCCTGTAGAGGTCACAACCTACTGTCTTCATAGTAATTGTGATCATAGTTGTAACATGTCGCAATTGGAAATCACGTCTGGAAATTTCACATTTTTCAACGATGACTGATATTTTGTTTTAATACGACTATAATATTATACACATTTAAAAAGAATTTTCATCTTTGAAAGCCGTTTAGTGTAGATTTTGGAGCTATTGGTTGGCAACTCGAATCTCACAAAATGTGAGAAGAATGCTGGGATATACTCCTTGGTATATTTAATATGGGAGGTTTATTAAAAGAATGATGGCTCATTATCACCCAGCTTTTCAAAGTTAAAAAATGTTATACCATAAATTTTGTGGGTTTGTTGTATTTTATGTTGAGTAAATTCCTAAATTTAAAAATTTTTAAAGTTTATCAACTAAATTTATAATTTTAAATTTTGAAAAATTTAGCTAGAAACAAGTCTGTTAATTTCAATTTGACTAATGTAATCAAAATGGTAAGAATCCAACTCAATCCAACCCTTTATTTTGAATTGGGTTTTGGTTGTTCCAAATTGAGAAGAGACAAAAAGTGGAGAAACAACCGCCGAGTGGAGAAGTCCGACGAGAAACACAGAGCATAGAACTTCAACGGAAATAGAACGGAAAGCCAAGCGAAGAGACATCGGCGACGACGTCGAGTGAAGAAACAGCAGTTGAGAAGAGAGTTTGATGGAGAAATAAAAAAGGTAACTGGCGAGCAACATCAACGTCCTCTATGAGATGCGAACGACGTCAACAGAGAAGACAAACGCTGTGAGATGAGAATGATGAAGAGTAGAGAGACAATGAGATAGATGATCATCGTTACAATAATTAACTGAGTTTCGAAGAAGCAAGAGAGAAAGTCAAGTCTCACCCGAAGAGTGCATGTTCGTCACGTGGCAGGGTGAGACAACATGACTCATGGACAAACAAACTGCATGGCTTTTGAGCCTTTTTATGGTTTTCGGGTTAAGTCAGGTTGTCCCAATAATTTAAAATTTGAACCCAAACCGGATCGAGTTCCAAAAAATGAACCCAACCCAAATCCAAAGTCCTTTTAAACCCAACCTGAACCCACAAAGTCCTTTTAAACCATACCCAACCCTTATAATTTGGATTGGGTCGGGTTGGGTGTACACCCCTAGTATTTGTAACGAAGTAAAGTTTGTGAACAAATTAACTGATTGCTTGCTGATACATCCTAATTAACTCAAATTTTTATCAACAATATATAATAAAAGCTTCAGCAGCACTAACAATAACAGATGAGCACATATTCAAGACATTTGATTCACAGATTCGAAGCCACAAAGGCTATAATTCAAGTCATTGTACAGGCCAGTGTTCATATTCTTTGATCACAGATCGATCAAATACTACCCCTTCATGCGAAATCATGTAACCAATAACAATTACCTAGGCCAAAAAAGCTAACTGTAGAAGACATTGATTACAAAATTTAAACCAACCAAGTACCATACCCTTAAATTTTTAACTTCGTTCTCCACATATCAGCTACGACCTTCCTTGGCTGTGGGTTATCGGGTCCTCGGTCTCGCTGTCCTGAGGTGAAGTACAAGTATCCATCCCAAAAACCAGCTAGCGTCGTTTTTATGCGGTATGGGAGCTTTCCAATCACTGACCAAGTCTTCAATTGTTGGGGGAACAAAAAGAAAAAAAAAACATGATCAACGCAACGTACGAAATTGTTTAAAGAGGGTTTTGCTCGAAGATAGACAAGTTCATACCAGTGTATCCAAATCAAATCGGAAGACCTCTCCGACCAAGATCATCCGTTTGGTAATCGGGTGCTTTTCCGTTGTACCCCCGGCGATGATTAGAGAATTATTGACAATAACCCAAGCACACTCAATATGAGAATCGGGTTTTGGCATTGGAGTTAGTGTTTTCCATTTCATTTCATCATCCAGCATGTAAACATCACCATAAACAACCTGAAAACATGAAAAAGTAGGATCAACATAACCTACTGATGCTGGGTGAACAAAAGGAGAAACACTGAAAGAAATGAGATGTATGTTTGTCTGTGTTATGGCATCCTGATAATGTAAAATCTGACCTACATGCATTTAACATGATAGCCAGCTTATCAGCTATTCAAATACAACTCGCAACAAACTCTTGAGCTAAAATCAAAATATACCTCAAACCTACGGGAGCACTTAAAAATAGGCGAACCAGGTTTGGCCATGAAGTCGCCTTCTTGACCACCGATCACAAAAAGCCGATCATTGGCCACAACACAAGCCCTGGAGAATGTCAAAATGGAATATGTTAGAGGAACTATTTCCAAATATTTCGATTGCCTAAAACATCTTTTTATTATGGATTGCAACTTTGAATGACTAATTTATCTCGTTTGTGAATGAATAGTGTCCCAAGACCTGTGTGGTCCTCCACGGGGTATGGGTATTTCAGTCCGCCACTTATCCTCCAATACTTTTCCATCTTTTACGGCAATGCTCCAGTGTTCCAGTCCAGGTGTGTGGCGATTCTCCTTGCTACCACCCATCACATGGAGTCTTCCTCTCCATAATTGCGTTGCTGGAGCATATCTGCAAACTGTCGTGTTAAAAAATTTTGGACTTCATAAAGATCTCAGATCTTACAAAAACATTTTCTTAAAGTTCCCATTGCGAAAACATGAGATCAACAACCAATAGACATGGCAGCCACCAGGACGTAAACTCAATCTGGATCTTGCAAGTCTAGTAACTTTGATCTGCAATCTCAAGTTGTTTTCTATTAATTCTGCATTTTCTACTCTTCCAACTACACATTAACAAGCAGAAGGCCCAAGCCACTATAGATAATGTTTAGATGCCCAACCTCCAAAGAAATTAACCAATTCTTCTGCTCACTTGTTCAATAGTTTGCTCCTATTCATTTCTTCCTACATTTAAGTTTACAAAATATGAAGCTTATCGCAACATTTAGGGGAGTTTAACTCGTAAGTTAGCTTTAGGTAACTCGGAGTTAAGATATTGGTATGACAATCTCACGAACATAAACATAGATCACCTAAATGTAAATTTGTGAAACCCATTTTTTGCACAACCTTAAATCTACAAACCAAGCCTTTATAATATATATTTTTGCACTAACACACACTTCATGCTCCAAAATTCCATTAAGTAGTTAGGATGTGATAACTAAAGCACATATATGGATAAAAAGATATAATCATTAAGCAAGGAACTAACCAGCAAGAACATATAAAATAATTTTTTTGCCCAGAAAAAGCATATAAACTTCTGTAGGAATAACAAGACGGCTCACAGCATACCTAGGAGCAGGTAGTGGGGGCATGCTGTTCCATTTCTTCGTTTCAGTGTCGAGTACAAATGTTCGGGCTGTAGGCCCTCTGCATTGGGGTCCATATTGTCCTGATATCACATAAATGTATCTGCCATCAGTTGCCACTCCTAAATGTGAATGTCCCATCTCTTTTGGCATGTCAAACTTGCCGATCCAGGTATTATCAGTGAAATTAAACATGTCAACGTGAGAATGCACCTACCAAAAAGAACAATAACATCAATAGTGTCTTACTTCCATATTAACAAACTTGAAGGTAGAACAAATATGATGACACTTCCAACACCGAATCATGATTCATCTAGCAGCAAGCAGAAGAGGAAATAAGATGCTGTTTCTTCTTTTTTAGAACTTCAAGAGATCTGAAATATGTTGGACACTAAAATCTTTTACTACTAGACGAAAAGCCCAAGGATACAAAATAATCAATAGTGTCGTACTTCCATATTAACAAACTTGAAGGAAGGTAAAGAAAATATGATGACACTTTCAACACCGAATCATGATTCATCTAAGCAACAAGCAGAAGAGGAGATACGATGTTGTTTCTTCTTTTTTAGAACTTCAAGACAATCTGAAATATGTTGGACACTAAGATCTTTTACTCCTAGATGAAAAGCCCGAGGATACAAAATATTGCTTCCTCATATAGGCGTGTTATGGTGTATAACTGAATTGATAGCAATCAATACATAAACTCATACATACACAATCAAAGATGCATTACAAACACTAGGAATAAAAAAAGAACTTACATAATCGATGGTTCCATATCCTGCAAAAACGTAAAAGATATTCTTAATCTGAATCGCTGCTCCATCAAGACGAGGCACAGGTGCTGATGGCATTTCCTCCCATTCTAAATCAGGTGCAGGTAAATCAAAGTAGGTTCCAGGTAAGAATCTCCTAGAATCAATCTCCTTTTCATCAACCTAAAAACATGATTTTGTAAGATCAGTTAAATCCAACAAAACTCCAAAACTAAATAAACAAATAACAAAATCGCGCGCAAGAAGCAGAGATCTAACCTGTGTAGCATTGTCAGTGGATGAATCCGGTACAACTAAAACCTCGGGTCTCCGGATCGCCCAATTTGACGAAATAGAAAAGTAGGAGGAAGACAATGAGGAAGACGACGTCCACAGCACATCTGCAATGAGAGCGGCACCGAGAAGAGCGGCACAAGTGATCAGAAAGACTAATTTCTTGGTAGAAGAAGCGTTCTTTTGATGATTTCTGGTCATTTCTCATCCAAATTGTGGAATCCATGAAAGAAACCAAGTAGAAATAGGAAGAAGATTTGCAAAAAGAGAGAGGCTCTGAAAACCAAAAAATCGACCACCGCTGGTTTGCAAAGAAGGGATTCTGCGTAATTGCCGCACACAGCTTTCAAGTTTTTTCTGCCGAAGAAAAGCGGTGGAAATTATTCTTTTTTTTTCTCTTTAAATCTTATTTTGTGGAAACTCCAAAATTACTATTTTTATATTTTATATATTAAAAATAAATTCTATTTTACTATTTAAACATTTTTAATGATTTTTTACTTCAAATTTTATAAAATATGGAGATAATATTAAAATTTTTAAATAGGGTTTACTCGAGCAAAGAGAGAAATTTTTTTGGATAAAACCGAAATCTTGAGTTGGTTGGGTTAGTGACCCGATCAACTCGAACAAAGTTCACAACCCAACTCAAATCTATTATTTTTAAAATCAATACAGCATGTTACGTCGATAACTAAAATCTTATAAAACTCAAATATTAAACATTCACGAGTTACCATGAATATATCACCATTAATATCGGTTATAAATGGGATTAATTATATGTGACACTATCTTCTTGTGGAGTCGAGTTCATGACAATAATTACAGTGTCGTGCTAACATTGTGGCTGAGAGACTTGTTGAGCAAAGTGACTAGAGGTGAGCTGAAGCCGGTAACTCTCTTCGTCGACAACAAATCTGCGATTGCATCAATGATGAATTCAATATTTCACAAACGCAACAAACATGACACTCGCTTCCACTTCATTTGTGATTGTGTCAAGAAGCGACAAATTGTTGTGGAGTTCATTTGTATTGGATAACAACATGCAGATATTCTCACCAGCCCGAACAAGGGTTAAACTTGCAAAGATGCATGAGTTGCATGAATTGAAAACTTTCGAGCCAAGTCAAGTTTAGGAGAGAGATTATGAGCCAATAAACTTGACTTTTACAAAGAATGTTTCATTCTTCTCCCCAACCGATGTGGGATCTCACAATCCACCCCCTCTTCAGGGCTTATCATTCTCGTTGGCACTCGTTCTCTTCTCCAATCGATGTGGTGCCTCCCAATTCACCCTTTTGGGGCCTAGCGTCATTGCTGGCACACTGTCTCATGTTCACCCCCTCTATGGGGCTTAGCCTTCTCGCTGACACATTGCCCGTTGTCCGACTTTAATACCATTTGTAATGACCCATACTCAACACTAGCAAATATTGTCTTCTCTGGACTTTCCATTTCGGGCTTCTCCTCAAGGTTTTTAAAACATGTCTACTAGGGTGCTAAGGAGAGGTTTCCACACTCTTATAAAAAATGTTTTGCTCTCCTCCCCAACTAATGTGGGATCTCACAATTCACCCCCGTTCGGGGCCCAAAGTCCTCGTTGGCACTAACAACATCATATCAAGAAAATATCATCATCTACGTCATGAGTTTAACATTAATCATCATCAGAAACCATGACACATGCATAGGCTAGTAGCAAATTTAATTTACTAGACTTAATTAGAATAAGTTGTTATGCATTTCATATTTCAGACCCTAGATTTTAGCTACCTAAACTCGCTACCGACATCTAAGCTTACACTCATATGTGAAATATAACTCTTAAAACATCATCCTTAAATTTATAATTTCAACCTAAAACATAAAGTCATCATTGAAAACACTGTCATGGTCCTACGTGTTCAAATCATAATTCATAAATAAAATAAAAAACAATAATGATAAATAATTTTAAACATGAAATGCATAACAACCTATTATAATCTAAGTCTAGGAAATTAAATATACTACTAGTCTATACACGTGTCATGGTCTCTGATTGCGATGCGGTCGTCAACCATACAGGGGCACCTTGCTTTTACCTAAAAAAGGACGATTTAAGAGTTATATTATGTATATGAGCTTAGGCTAAGATGACGGTAACGACTTTAGGTAGCTATTCTAAAGTAGTGTGGTTAGCCTTGGTGCATGTTTGACAACTCACCTTTTCTTGTTTGTTGTGATATCCACTTGACCCATTTGTATTTTGGTGTATGAGAAGAAAAGTAAGAGCCAAAACAAATTGATTATATTGTAGGGTATGGAGGTTTCGACCCCATAACCGTTCAAAAGCCTTTTATATTTGAGATCTAAATCGGTAGCCAAATGAAATATTGTAGTAAGTTTGTTCTCACGAATGTAATAGGTTGACTTTCCTCGACGGTTAAAGCATTAAGGATAATCACTCGCCCATGTACAAAAACGATAACGAAAAGTGTGGAGAGCTTAATGGAACTTAAATTACGAATCTAAGAAATCTAGGAAGATTCTATCGCTAATTGTGAGTAGATTGCTAATTAGAGACTAAGTTTTAAAGGCGGCTTTCAGTGGATGCCTCCAATGGGAGTAAGGGTGTACACGATTAGGTTAAAAAAATCTTTTGAACTAACTCGAAATTTCGAGTTGGTTGGGTTGACGACTGGAACAACTCGAATAGAATTAATAATTAAAATCTCATAAAAGTCAAACATCAAATATTCACAAGTCACAACACATCACTAATATTGATTATAAATATCAAATATTTTTAATCTTCGTGATCCTATTTTAAGGTCAATCTGATCCAACAAAAAAAAGTCAAAAGTCAACCGTCAACCCACGGACCGACTCAATTTTTTTTATTTTATGAAAAATTTAACCCAACTCAAACGAAAAAACACGTAACTCAACCCAACATTTATGATTTAAATTGAATAGTCGGTCACCGAGTAGACGAAATTGTGGTGCCCAATTATTCCTCGTGTCAACGACACACTTCATGTTCATGCCAATCAACCTTAATTTTTTTCGTAAAAGGATATTGTTTGCCTTTTAATATTCCTTTTTTGTCATTTTCTTTTTTCTTTTTTCTTTTTTTTTTTAATTTAAATTTTATATGAAACTTTTGAGGACAAAATAGGAAGTTAAAAGTTTTCCTTTTTCAATATATATATATATATATATATATATATATATATATATATATATAGATATAGATATGACACTTCAGAAATTTTTGTAATTTACTTATTTACAACAAATTTCATAAATATAGTTATTTAAAATGCCTTTTAATATTTTGTACCAATAAAATTTTATTATTTAAAAAAATTAAGGATTAAAATAAATAGATGAGATAATTTAATTATATATATAAAAATTTGAGTTATTATATAATTTTTAGTAGGTTTATTAATTAAAAAAAATGTTGAATAGAACACAAAATTAAAAAATTATTAAATATTTTTTTAAAAATTTAAAAAATGGATAATCCAACGGAAATGATTCGGTTCATAATTGTGGTTCGGTTCAACATTTTTCTCTGAATTGGCCGTTCACTATCCAATTAAGCCAAGAAGAAGTGTGGCAGAGGCCAATTTTCTTTTTCGAAAAATTCCTTTGCCCAATCATTTGTGTGTATGGGGAAATCGGATGTGGAATCAGCGGCGTTGAATCAGCGCCCAGAAAGGATCAGAGGGTCGAAATTGGATTTGTGAATTGTTCATCATGGAAGAGAGAGAGACACCCCGATACGTTTCTCTCTGAGAGAAGAATCCGTGCGAGTGTCTGTGTAATCTCGTTGACGGCATATCGACAAAGCCATCGAGCGCATCGGAACCCAAATCTTTGCTACTGCCTCTGGAATTTCAAACCCTCCTTGTGTTTTGATCTCTAGGGTAAGTGATTCTGTTTTAACCCTTTTGTGATTTTGTGATTTTGTGATTTTGTACTGTTCTTTTGCTGATTTCATCTCTGGGTTGTAATTTTATTGACTGTTTTGCGTTTCTTTCAGTTTCCCCCTTTTAATTTTGTACTGGATTTGTGTTCTTGATCTATTTGTGTTGAGTTCTAGCGATATAGAACGAGCTTTCATGATTGTATGATTGATTAGGTCATGAAATTCTGTGTAATTGTGTTTTTGTTTTTGGATATATGTTTTTCTCTGCTACAGAGTGAAGGGAAGAGGGTGGCTTCTGAAGTTATGTCATCATCTTATCGAGTTCTTCCTAAGCCATTTGAGGAAAAGTATCCCAAATTACCTGTTTCTTGTCAGGGTTCTTCACATAGTGAAGCCATGAGACATCCAATTCCCAGACAGGCCCCTCCATTAGTTTGTGGCACTGTTGGGCATTTGTTTTCATCATCTTCTGGATTACGAAGTGGTTTTCCGATGATGCAGCCTTTGTCTCAAGAGAGAAATGCCGAGTTTTCTCCGTTCATTTCGTCGTCTGCTAATGATGAACCGTTGTTGGCTCCTCGAGATTCTTCCCATTCAGAAGTGATGACTAATGACTTGAATGAGAACAATGCATCATGGAGTGATGATACCCTTCAGGGTTTGCTTGATTTTTCTGAGAATGTTCCTGACCAGAATGGTCAAGCACAAAGCATTGCTGGTGTGTTAATGACAGATGAACAAGATAAGAGGAATGATTGGCCTGATTGGGCTGATCAGTTTATTTCTGTGGATGATGCGTTGGAGCCAAATTGGAATGAGATTTTTTCTGATGGCAATGCAGGAGATCCTAAACCAGAGGTTGGTTCGTTCTTTCGTTTTTTATGCCCGATCTTACTCTTCCGTAGTGTATTGCTCTTTGTGGGTATGTTTGGTCAACAAAAAACAGGTTAGATTCTGCCTATATAAAGAATGTTTCGTTCCCCTCTCCAACCGATGTGGGATCTCACAATCCTCCCTCCCCCTTTCGGGGCCCAACGTCCTTGCTGGCACTCGTTTCTCTCTCCAATCGATGTGGGATCTCACAATCAAAATGACATTAGAAGAGTACCTATACTCGAAAACACGAAACAAATGAATACATTACTAAATTGGTTATGATCATTCAATGAGACGTAATGGAAGGAGGAGTGTATTCCTAAACAAAGAAACGATCAATGACTAATTACGAGCCATATGACGTGAAAATCTGATGTATGGTTCAATCAAGCCCTTGACGTTTCTTTGAAAAACTTGGTCTCTGGTTAAACTACACAGCCACTGGAGTTATGAATGCTAGAATGATTGGCCTTTTCAAGACAATGTGTGTAGTACTCATTTTTTAATGCTCGAGTGTCTTCTTGGTGAATGATGCCTATGAAATGATTTTC